TTTTTTTTTTTTTTTGAGACAGTGTCTCACTAAGTTGCTTCAGGCCTCCCTAAATTGCTGAAGTTGGCCTTGAACTTGCAATCAGCCTGTCTCAGCCTCCTGAGCTGCTGGGATTACAGGTGTGCACCACCACATCTGGCTCAAAGTTACCATTTTAATCTATTAAGAGATAACAAAACAGAGGCCAAGGTTCCACCCACCAAAAGCCTAAACAAAGCCATTTTTTCATTGTTAAAAGAGTTCCTCAATCCTTCTTTAATGCAACAAAGTCATTGACTTTCAATTTTAGTTTTTACTTATAAAATTAATACTGAAAATAATTCAAAATAGAAATTCAAATAATAGAATTAGAAAATAGAATTCAAATTCATCAGAGTTTGAAACTCACACTATGAGACAGACCCACAGAAATTGGGGCTGACATATGGAATCGAAGATCTTGACTATCATTTCATGCTTACTGCTGGATCTACTTGTTTTGAATGGAATAAGTAGTGAACTTGCCAGCCCTGTGTGTCTAAATTGCTGTCTTTCACTTGCTCTCTGATACGCACCAAGCTGATCCCACAAGAAAGCCCACCACAGTAAACTGTCACTCTAACCAACTTCTCTGTCCTTGTTTTAGTTGATAATTCCACAATCCTATCCTCATATTACTTCAGAACTCTAGAATTAAAGCTAACAAGACCTACTGGCTTATTTATATCCACTTTGATAACTGAAGGTGAATGGCCTGATGGAGGATCCCAGAGGCATGTAGATAAAGGCATGCAGATAAACATCCTGATCACATGTGTGTATCAATGTGACACATTTGCAGCTCCATCAGAGCACAGCACAGACAAGGGCCAAATCTGGTCAAGTCATCTTGGCCAATCCTCCTTCTGATCTCCCCAAACCAATCATGATAAAATTCTGCCCATACCTTTCCTCACCTTCCCACTACAGCCCACAGCAAGCTGGTCAGGATTCCACTCTCCCCTGTCTGTGCAACCTGCAGAGTGCACCCTTGACATCCTTATTGCGAAGGCTATAAACAAACGGGTTGGCCAAAGGTGTAATGGTAGTGTACATTACTGCAGCCACCATATCCTGGTCCCGAGAGTTCTGGGAGGGAGGCTGGAAGTAGACCCAAATGATGGTGCCATAGAGGAAGCCAACCATGGTGAGGTGGGATCCACAAGTAGACACTGCTCGGCGGCGACCAGCTGCTGAAGGCAAACGTAAGATGGTGGCCCCAATTCGGACATAGGAGAGTACAATCAGGGCACAGGGGCCCAGCATTAGGAAGCCGCCCTCCAAGAATATGGCCAGCTCATTGGAATGTATGTCTGAGCAAGAGGCTCTCAGAAGTGGTCGGTGGTCACAAAAGAAATGGGGAATGTGAACATGCCCCCCGGCATCCGCAGTCCAATACAGGGGCAGAAGGAGACCCACATGTAGCATAGTATGCACTATGGACACTGCCCAGCTCAAGGCCAGTAGGCAGGCACAGCGCTGGCGATTCATCACCAAAGCATAGTGCAGAGGGTCGCAGATGGCCACGTAGCGGTCTAGAGCCATGACAGCAATGACAAGTGTATCTGTGACTCCAAATGCATAGAAGAAAAAGAACTGAGCCAAGCAGCGGGCAGCAGGAATGGCTGGGTAATCAGAGGCCAGATGGACCAACAACTGGGGCAGGGTGACTGTGGAAAGCCCCAAGTCTATTATGGAGAGGCCACGGAGTAGATAATACATAGGTGAGTGGAGCCGGGAGTCCCGGGAGATGAGCAGTACCAGAGTCACATTCCCCAATATGGTGGTCAGGTAAATAGCCAGGAAGAGGAGAAAGAGGAGACTGTGAGGGATGCTCGATCTTGAGAACCCAAGGAGCAAGAAGACTGGAGAATGTGAAGCATTAGGAGCACAGCTCATGATGAGTGTTGAGGAGCTCTCCTGGAAGAAATTTAAGTCGAAAAGCAATAGGTCAGAGATTAGGGATCATAACATGTGCACATAATAGTTATGTTATGCAAGGTCCTTAAAGACCTAGATTCAACTCTATGTTTCTTTCTCTAGGTCACTCCCTTAACTTATTACAACAGTTTCTCCAGTATTTCTTCCTTTTGTTCACTGCAGAGACAAGCTTCAAGAAATAATTACCTATCAACTGTCTTCAGCTCCTCATCTTTCATTCACATCCTTCATCCTACAGCCATCCTGATTTATTCTCTTTGAACCTGTCCAGAGCATAATGTACCATTAAAACCCAGAACATGTAAAGAAATGGTTATTTAAAAGTAGTAGACTTCTATAGTGAAATTGCCTTAGATTGTCATAAAATAATTTTTCTGCTTTATTCCTTATGTTGGCAAATAGTACCATCATTACCATCTGCCTGATGCACAAACAAAAACCTTAAGGAACCCTCCCTCGTCTCCCCACATTCAGTCATTCCTTGCCATCTATGTTTTTCCTTATATCCATCCTTTATTCTTTGTTCATAAAACTATTTAAGCTTTGGCATCTCTGACCGATACTAATTTCCACAACCTCATTACTACTGTCTCCACTCGTCTCCCCCAATAGGTCTTCACACTGTTGCCACGGTAAGACTTTTGATGCGGGACTTCACATTTAACTAGTCGGGGACTTGAGATTCAAATCCAAACTGTTGATCTGACTTGTATGGAATTTTCATTATTAGTACTTAACTTCCCTGTCCAGGCTATTGTTAAGTCATGTGCTCAAAATTAACATGTCAAGTTCCCATACCCCTCCCTGCACATACTTAACTATTTTGAGAATTTCAGCCTCTGAAGTAAGAGTTACTAAACAGTAGAAATACCCACACACATATTCAACAATGATAGACATTTAAAGAAAACATAATAATCATCCTTTCAAATTCATAACTGAAAGAACTTTCAAGAATGTAAGGGAAATTTAGGGGCCTATAATCAAAGAAGGATATAAAAATAATATCTAAACTTCATGGTGGTAGAGCTGGTGCTGATATTAGGTAGTTGGGAGAGGACACTATATCAGTCTTCAGAGTCCAAAGCTTGAGTATAAAATCCATGTAGTATAGGAGAAGAGGGCTTAGTCCTGTGTGAGGGAGGGTAGAGACCACCACATAACTGAAAACATTCAAAGTTAAGCTTTCAGGGAAAGAGCATACACAAACTGTAATAGGTACAGATAGATAGAGATTATATGGATTTCTTTGGGCTAAGAAAGAAGGAATGGAGGGCTGAGGTTGTGGCTCAGTGGTACAGCGCCCACCTAGCACATGGAAGGCACTGTTTTCAATCCTCAGCACCACATTGAAAGAAAGAAAGAACTTGAAAAAATATTTTAAAAAGAAAAGAAAGAAGAAATGGAAACCCAGATCTCTCAGTATGCACTGTTTGGAGGAAAAATTACCTCCCAAAGGAATCCAATTATGGGTTTTTACCATATGCAGAGTGATAGTGCTAATTTTCAAATCAAATAAACCCTCAAATAGAAAATTAACATTAAAAAATATGCTTAAATGGGTAAAAACATTGGGGTACCTTATAGAAGCAAACATAAAATTTTTCCTCAGGGACTTACAGATTCCAATCCACAGAAGTCCATAAATAAAAATCTATTAAAGATAAGCTCACTATTCAAAATTACAAAAGACACATGAAATCTACTAATTATGACAATAATCAACAATCAACAAACAATAGCATTAACCCCCTCCAACATCATAAAATTAACCAATCTGTTAGGAATTATAAATTATATTTAAAGTGCTTATTGTCTAAAAGAAGGAATAAACATAATAATAATGAAGGCATTATAAAGATAAATTAAATCTATTTGAAAAAAACATTACCAGAAAATAAAAATATTCATATTCAGAAGAAAGATGTAAAAGAAAGGAGGGTGACATGAAGACAGTACAAATTAACCAAGGTGTGAAAAGAGGATTAAGAATTGCAGAGAGAAAAGGAAAGGACTCATATATATATCAAACAATGTGACTTTTCCTGTATACATACATGAATACGCCACAGTGAAGCTCAACACCAGGTACATCCACAAAACTGAGATCCTAATCAGAATAAGAGATATTCCATAGTTATATAAATATATCAAAATACGGTGTACTGTCATGTATTACTAAAAAGAAAAAAATATAAATAAATAAATCAGGGGCTGGTGCTGTAGCTCAGTGTTAGAGCACTTGCCTCGCAGGTGTGAGGCCCTGGGTTTGATCCTCAGCACCACATAAAGATAAATAAATAAATAAATAAAGATGCTGTGTCCATCTATAACTAAAAAAGATAAATAAAAAAATAAGTAAATTAGACTGGGGCTGGGGCTCAAAGATAAAGCACTTGCCTAGCATGCGTGAGGCCCTGGGTTCGATCCTCAGTACCACATAAAAATAAAGTAAAGATATTGTGTCCATCTTTAACTAAAAAATAAATAAAAATTAAAAGAAAAAAGTCTTAAAAAATAATAAGTAAATAAATAAATAACTAGTATTCACATGCAAAAGAATGAAAGTAAAAATTAAATTTACACCATACATAAAAATCAATGCAAATGGTTTAAAGACTTAAACATAAGAACAGAAACTATAAAACTCTAGGGAAAAAATAGGGGGAAAAACTCCTTGACATTGGTCTTGTCAAAATCCTTCAAAAGACAAATAAACAACTGGGACATCAAAAGTTTCTATATAACAAAGAAAACAGAAAATAGAATGCATAGATGGCCTACAGATTTAGAGAAAATGTTTATGAACTATACAACTAATAAAAGTTAATATCCAAAATGTATAAGGAGCTCACCTTTGACAGAAAAAACAATCTGATTTTTAAAAATGGACAAAGGATCTGAAGATCCACAAATGGCCAACAGGTATATTAAAAGGTGCTCAAAATCACTACTCATTAGAGAAACACCAATCAAAATATCTGCACTCTCCTGTTCACTGCAGCATGGTTTATAATTGCCAAGAAAGGAAAACTCAAGCGTCTTTATCTCAACTAATTTTTTAAATGCAGCAAATTGTTCCCATACCCTGGCAGGAGTCTACACTGAGTCCCTTCCACAGCGTCCTTTAAGAACTTGAGTAATATTTTGCAGCATACTTTTAGTTTCCAAATGTATTTTCTTAAACTGTCTTTTTATTATTGATCCCTAATTTAATAGCAATCTAAGCAGAGAATTTAATCTCTATGAGGTTAGTGCTTTGAAGCTTTTGGAAACTCACATTATCACCTGATATATAGCTAAATGGACTTGTGACAGGCAAGGACAGCCCTGAAAACTAACAATTTGTAGAAGTATAAACAGGGTTGGCATTCCTGGTAGATGAAGGATAAACTATTCAGTTAAATATTGTGCTACAACTGTAGGTACATATTTTAACTTGTCATTTACCATACTATAGACCACTTGAAAATAGACACATGCTTTCATAAGAGTAAGTCTCCACAACACAGCTGAAAAAGACCTTTTGCAAAATTATATAAAAGTATAACCAATATGATTTTTTTAACATGCAGAATTATTGTGGTGTTTTTGTTGTTTGTTTGGATTTGGGTTTTTGTGCCAGGGATTGAACCCAGGGGCACTTTACCACCAAGCTATATCCCCAGACATTTTTATTTTTTTATTTTGAGGCAAGGTCTTGCTAAGTTGCTGAGGCTGGTTTTGAATTTGTGATCCTCCTGCCTCAACCTCCTGATCCACTGGGATTACAGGTGTGTATCACCACATCTGGCTTCTGTTATTTTTTTATTTAAAAAAAGACATATATAATGAAATTATAAAAATATGCATGAGAATAATCACTGTTTAGTGTAGTAGGTACCTTTGGGAAAGGAGGAAAGACATAACCAAGGTTGAAATAGCAGCTTGAGTTTTAATTGTATCTGTATTGAAACCAGAAATGGCAAAACACAAATTTTGTTAAAGTTGGGGTTTTGACTTACGTAGCTCATTGTCTTTCTACACATTGTTCTATATTTTGAAGCTTTTCCTATGAAGATATATAGGGAAAAGCTAAGGATAGACACTTAGACATAAGAACTTTTATTTTCTAATGGTTGTTTTTATTTATTCCTTCTAAGCACACCTTTCCATCCCAAAATAATATGAACCTCAGTTAATTAAATCACATCATGGAAAATCCAGAATTAGGTAACATCTATCTTAGAACTAGTAGAATCAGAGATTTACCTCCAAAGCAATTTTCTAACACATTATAGAAAGCAAAAAGAGGCCCCAATACATGTGAATCACTACCTTGGAACCTGTGCACTGTGCCATGATGCTACCCTAGGTTGTCCTTCCCTAAATCCAGGCATGTCCCACATTTCTGATTACCATTTCCATTTCCCTGTCTTGCTGTAATAAGCTCTAGAGTAAGCTTATGATGGCAGCTCTTACTTCAGCCTGATTTCAGGAATGCAGAGTCGGAAAGAACGTTTTCACAGGACTCTGGAACAGAGGAGAGAAATCTTCAACAAAACTAGAAGAGAGAGGGCTGGGGATGTAGTTCAGTGGCAAAGCGCTTGTGTTGCAGGTACCAAGCCCTGGGTTCCATCCTCAGTACTGCAAAAACAGCAATATATAAATAAAACCAAGACTAGAGGAGATGGAGGTGGAGCACTCCTCACTGCCTGTATCTCTTCAACCTCAGGAGCTCAAGATTGATTAATTGTAGTGTTTGGCTCATGCTGCACCATCTTTATTGGTTCAAACATTGCTTGACTCTTTCTCCCTTGGTTTTAAAGAGCATATATTAAACACATTAATTTACTGTTCTATACAAACAGTAGAATACTGATGGTGATTCCTATCTACTTGTATCAACCTTCTCCAACACTTACCCTTGCTACTCTGCCTGAGGTAGCCAATCCTCACAATCTTGAGGGAGTCATTCT